ATGTGGCCGAGCGCCGTGGCGGCCGCGCACGCGTCGTCCAGGCTGACGAGGCTGGTCGAGTTGGCGGCGGCGATAGCGGCGTACAGCGGCGCGGCCTCGGCGGGCTGCTTTGTGGACCGCCCGTCGTCGCCGTTGTGCAGCTTGCGCGCGTGCGCCAGCAGGGCGCTGGCGTTTGCGACGCCGGCGTCGGCGCAGGCTCGCTGCAGTGCTGTCGCCGTGGAGGCGGCGGCGGCCTCGTCGCTTTGCGCGACCGAGCCGACAGCAAGAAGCAGCAGGGAAAGGCTGCGCATGAGCAGGCGACGCGGAGTAGTGCCCAGAGGAGTCGGGCCGGGGGGCTTAGAGGGGTGGCGTCGCGCAAAAAGAATTTCGCACGCGAGCAAAAAGATTTTTCCCACCTGTCCCCCTGATCGTCCTTCCAAAATCCTGCTGGTGCAGGTGGGGACCCTGTCCTCGTCCCATCCCTCGTTTGGCGTGTCTGTTTTCTTTCTTTCTTTTTCACGCTGCTCCTTCCGTCGTTTTCTTTCTTTACCGAACGTACCGAGCGAAGAGCCGAGCGGAAGGAGGACGGGGAAGATGACTCCGAGGAGGACGAACCAGGGGAAATGTCAGATGTCACGATGCATCCGAAGGGGACCCCAGCGCCGGCATCATCCGTAGAGGCACGAGTGTTCGAAGAGAGAGTGGACCTGAGCAACAACATGACCTGTAGGCAAATGATCGGAGTGGGAGTCAGAAATGTGGTCCTTGCGCGAGGGGAGCTCGATAGACTCGAGGGGCCAGGATACGCCGCGAGGAGGACGGAGTTGCGCCGAAAGGCGAAAGAAGCCGCGAGAACAAGGGACCGGCAGGCGGCGGCGTCGCAGGACGAGGCAGAAGAGAACGACGCGACAGAGGAGGAAGTGACATGGGAGAGAACGACGAGAGTGGGACGACCGCGAGGTGGCATGAAGGTTGCAGCGAGAATCGGCGAGAGACTGCGAAGAGAGATAGGAAGAGGCAGACTCCCTAGGGTGGGCGACGGCTAGCGCACCACACACCTCTCCTTAAAATCCCTGTGTGGTGGCGGCGTGCCGTCCTCCCATCCCTCCCTTGGGTTGTCTGTTTTCTTTCTTTCTTTTTTCTTTCTTTATTACCGGAGGAGGACTGCTGACGGGGTTTGTGATGAGGAGCGATCCAGATCACTACCGCCGAAGTAAACGACAACTGAGTTCTTCACACTCTGCCACTCACACTCTGCCCGGCGGGACACGACCGGTATGTCACTCACGCGCTTGCTCTGCGTCGCGATTGCGGCGGCCGTCGCGAACTCTCTCGGTCCAATGCCACGACCGCCGATACCGGCGCAGCGCCTTCGTTCGCCGCCGTCGCCTCAGCTGGTGGCGGCTTCGCCCGCTGTGGTCGGTGCGAAGCTCCTCACGGCATCGGCAATCGGCGTCGGGATCGTCACGTCGTTCATGGCGCCAGCGACGGCGTTAGCGAGCAAGCTCTTCGACGAGCGGTACAAGGCCAACCTGAACGCGGCGCTCGCCGACGTTTTGAGAAGAGATCCACGAGAGAACTTTATCGCGAGCTTCGTGTCGTCCATCGTCAAGGCCGTCACGATCGTGCCCCTCGTGACCGTCGCCACGGCGGTCAGCACAGCGTTCG